GTATCTATACACGCACATCCCAATAAGCAAACAATCACACATTATTCTAGTCTTATTTATAGGCTATAAAAAGCAGGTTTTTTTTTTCCCTAAATATAGCTACATTCTAATTAAAGACAATCATGTTCGAGGGATTATCAAGTACTAAATATTTTTTTTTGGTGAATGTCAAGTACTAAATATAAGCGCTTCTTTCAATAAAAATTTGAATATTAATTTATCATATTATGAGAAACTAATTTCTTCTATTAACTCCAACCCCCCGGTTGATGAAGGCTTTTTTTATAAGCATCATCATTAAATTTTGAATATAAACATACTATTTTATTCTTAATTTATTATTATATGGATTGTTATTTTTTAAAATGTATTTAAATAAGATTAAAATTAAAAAATTGTTAAACTTTAAGATAGTGTTGATGATATTTATAAAAAAAAATTCTTCGATAAAACTTGATAAAAATAACTTATAAATCAAATTAGAAAAGTACGTATATAACCTCCAAGCAGCCCTTTCTGTCAATATTGTCGCCTTACTCATTTCACTTATTTTCTCGGGGCTGGCGCACATATTTTAATGGGAAAACAAGAGAAAAGACCAAGTGGCAGCAATACATATCATTATAGTTGATTAATTTAAATAAATTAAGAAAATTGACTAAGTTAGTTATTTATAATAATAAGGTATTATTTTACTTAAAATACTCTTATTAATCATGTATTAATTAAAACTATTATTAAATTAAACATTTAACATGTGCAACTATTACAAAAACTACTTTAAAAAAGAGATAAACATGAAAGACAAAATGTATTAGAATCTTATATTTAAGATCAAATTGAAAGTGAAAATATCTCTTATATTAAAAACCGGAAATAATATTATGTTTTAATAAGGTCACATCATAAAAATTAAAAATAACAAAAAAGTTCTGTATGAAATTGATAGTGAGAATTTTCCCCCCTTAATTATTGCACGTCCCGTGATGTTTGCCTTTCCTGATAAGGAAAATTGTCTTGTGCTGAAAAACAATTGCGTTAACTATTTAAAATATTATATCCTGTTATATTGTTGCTTTGATTTGATGTGTCTATATATTCTTCATTGGGTGGAGCTAGCGCGGCACGATGCTTCCCGGCCATCACTTGCATAGTTGCATGTGTGTTTAGCTGTACACGTGGCAAAAGAGAAGAAGCCGGCGCATATTAGGCGTGAAGACCATATGAGTTTGATATTAAATTTTTTGTTAGTACTACTATTATTATTGATCCTTTTCATTTGATTGAATTGTTGTTTTAAAATGAAAATTAAAAATTCATCAACAATATTAAAATCTTAAATTTTTATGATTATGTTAAAATGAAGAGTGGATAGGTGGGGTTATGTTATTTTGATAAAGACTATGATTCATAATATATAAGCATCAAATTTTTGAAAGTGTCTTTTTTTTTAAGCATTATTCTAGATTTATTGGATCATTTAATGCATTTTTTATTTTTATTCCCAATTAATTATATGTCTCTCACATGTCTTTTTTCTATTCATTCCTTTCATCTATTTTTTTCGCGTATTCTTTCTCCCACTTGCTCACTTTATGAATATCAGTGTTTAAGAAAAATAAGTTGCATTCTTTTAACAAATTTATTATATTTAACTAATTTTAACTAATTTTTTAAATTGCATGAGTTGGTTATTTGATGTTTATATCTTGAACCTACTTGTTTATAAGAATAATTTTAGAAAAATGATTGTAAAATTTGAAAATTCCCAAATAGTCACCCCAATAAGCAAAATTTCAATTTAGGTATAGCTGACCCAATTAGAATTTTCACATTTGCTAAAATAACCATATTGCTTTTTACTTTTTTAAAAAAGAAACTATCAAACACCATCACCGGTTGGCTGGTTGTCAGAGCTCTAGCGTCAATGGCCACCTCATAGAGCTCCGACGACCGGCTAATGATCGATCACTAGAGCTTCAATGACCGGCAACTTTTTTTTGGAATTTTTTTTAAATCTAGTAACGTGATTAATAAGTTCTTTAATACTATTAATAAGTTTGGTATTATCATTAACAATAGGTTTTCAAGAAAATTCACAAAGTGGCATTTTAACAATCTAATGATATGAACAATTTTCATAACACCATTTACAAAGTGATATAAGAGCTTTTTACACATTGAGAGATTAGTCATGATATCATAAATAGAGAATTTTTCAGGTCTTGTAAGGCAATTAACAAGTTTTTAAACACCATTAACAAATTTGGTATCACTATTAACAGTATGTTTTCCAAAAAAAAAAATTAAAAATGACATTTTTACAATTTTAGTAATGCGATTAGTAAGTCATGTAATGATATTAACAGCATTCATAATGTTATTAAAAAAATTTCCCTATGAAGATTGTGCAACAAAATTTTTTTCATTTATTAAGCAATCAGTATGATTATACAAATTGTTAATATCATTATATGACTTATTAACTGTATTACTAAAGTTATAAATATGCTACTTTTTGAATTTTTAGAAAACTTGTTGTTAACGGTAATACCAAACTTATTAATTGCGTTCCTCTTATAGAGTATTTATTAACTTAATAAGCTTTTTAAATATACTTAAATTAATTAATTAACTCTTATATTAAGGATGGAAAGTAATACATGATAGAACTCTAGCAGGAGGAGGCTGTGAACGTGAGGATATTTTTTAATGAGAATTTAAATACTTATTTGCGTTATATGGGAACCCAAGATGTTACACAATAGGCATAATTTTGTCAAGAACTGGATTAGGTCATTTAGGGGGTGTTTGGATATAACCAAACCATGGTTTGGAGAATAGCTTCTGGAGAATAGATTCTGGGGAGAATAGATTTTTTAAAGAATAGATTTTGTAAAAAAGTGATTCTGAGAAGTGAGAGTGTTTGGATAGTTGTTACCAGAAGCACTTTTTACATGTACAAATTACTAAAAAAAGGCATAAGTTAATATGATACTTACAGAAAAAATATATTTTATGATATATTTTAATTTGAAGGAATAAAATTGTTAATAATATATTTTTTATTAACATAATTAATAATACATAAGATAATATAATTAATAATTAATTAATATGTATATATATTTATAAGATATAAGATTAAATATATTTATAAAAAATATGTTTATAAAAAAAACAACAAGATACATATCCTATAGGCTCTCATACTCTCCCTTTTTTTTCCAAAAGCAAAAAAATTTTACTTTTCCCATAACCATGGTTTTGGAGCCAAAACCATGGTTTGGACTCAAAACCATGGTTTTGGTTTTTATAAGGGTGTTTGGGAGATTTTTTCCCAAACCATGGTTTGGGTTGGAACCCAAACACCCCCTTAGTGTTGATGACGTGTTAGAAACACCTTAGTAAAATTAACTATCCCCGACTAAGTGCTTTGTTTTTGGATCTTTTTAACAAAAGGACTAGCACATGATGATTTTATATTACCTTTGATTCTTGATATAAGAGTTAATTTGACATTCAATTTGATCATAAATATAAAATTCAAATTCACTTTATCTCTTATTTTTATTTATTTTTTCAAGGCAGTTCTTATAGTAGTTGTACATATTAGATGTTTCATCAAATAGTAGCTTTCTAGCTAATACATATAATTTGTAAGGGTATTTTATATAAAATGATATCTATTTATTACAAATAACTAATTTAACTAATTTTTTTAATCTACTTAAATTAGTTAATTAATTTTTATATTAAAAACCAAACATATTATTATTTTTTTTTTTCAGATAGGACCAGCTTGTTCCATGAAGATGATTAACGCGTGAGTCAGAGACACTAGCGCGCCAATGGACAATGAAAGTTTAACTCTCACTTGTTGGATGGGGCGTTAGGCAAGAGTTTGATCCGATTACCCACTTTCCCAAGAATCTCAAAAGATTACATGCACTAACTCTCTAAAACAAGTCTTTTTCTCTAGTTCCCTTTGTTTAGAAAAAATAGTTCAACAATCTATATACTTACTTAATATAAAAATTAGATAATTAATTTATAAATATTAAAAAAATTAGTAAAGTTAGTTAATTATACTAGATGTGTGTTATGTTTTTTAAAATGTTTTTGTCAATAATGTATATTAAGAAAACTATTTAACATGTGCAATTATTATAAAGAATAGTGCATAAAAAATGAATAATTATGAGTGAGAAAGTAAATTAAAATCTTATACTTAGCATAAAATTGAATCTCTAACTAATTTTTATATTTACGATTAAAGGTAGTATTATTTATCAGTTTTAAATATTTGTATCAATTAGTTATTTAAATAGATTAAACAATTATATGGCCAGTGTATCACATATCTAACATTGGTTACTTGTAAACTAGCTGTATTTCATTTTTTTTAATCAATAGTTGCATTTCTTTTTTGTTTTTTTTGGGATCAGCATCAATAGTTGCATTTCGTTTTAAACTTCATGGAATATAATTATATAAGTGACAATTTTTTTTTCCATAGCTTAAAGTATTATGTGATGCATTTAACATTATAAAATAATTTTTTAAATGTATCCAATACCTTAACATATTTTTCAGTACATCCAATATTTTAAAATATTTTTTAATTTAATATCCTAAAATAGTTTTTGGTGCATCTAACACTAAAGCAAAAAAAATGTTAAAATTTTAAATGCACTTAAAAGAATATTTCAGAATAGTAAATATACCACAAAATATTTTATGATGCCCGTGCCACTGAGAAAAATGCAATTTAGCTCTCTCTTTTGTTTTTTTCCCTCCCATGGATAAACCACAATTTATGTTACTAATTACTATTACTGTTAATTGCTTCTTGTTTACATCGCTAACAATGGCAACCACCACCTTCTAATTTACTAGTAATCACTAATTTATTTTAACAAAATTAAACAATTGAATATGGCTGTGTGTTCTTCAATACCTTTCCCGATTCACGGGAACCTTCCGGAAACAGCTCGAGAGAGACGATCAATAAGTCCATTACCGAAGTTCGCCATTTCGGGTTTTGTCCATCCACTGGCTTTCTCTTTGTTCCTCCTCAACCAGCCGGCATTAAGAGCTGGGTCTGCTTCGCAATTTCATATATTTTGAATTGAATTTGGATCTCAAATTGTTTAGGGCCACGTAGTTACTTCTCAGATTCACAATTATTCCCGGCTTTGCAAGGTGCAATTTATTTGTTTGCTCTTGCGCGGAAAAAAGCAATTTTTTAAAAAATTTATTTGGAGGAATAACGAAGAATACATTGAGAAGTGCAATGGAGGGTGGAGGAGCAGAGAAAGAACAGCAACAAGGAGCATCATACACGTATTGGGTTAGGAAAGTTACAGATGATGCTGCGCCTATGCCAGTACCCCAGAAGCTAACACACGAAGATGTCCTCTCCGGTCAACCGCGTACAAACACAGTTGGTTCTGTTTGGAATCGCGTATGAGCTTATTCCTCTTCCTTTCGACTTAAGCATGCTTTATGCCTACATTTTCATTCTTTGGTGAACGAATCAAACATAAAGATCGGGCATATATCCTACTTCATGTGTTATGCTTTCAACAATCGCATCCGTTTATTTAAGATATTAAATCATACTTCATGTGATTTTGGTTTTTTATCGATGACTAAATGAGCCCATTAACTTGTCCATTGTTTATCAATGATATTATTACATGTGCGTACTAATTTTAAGGAGTCTCTTGACTCGGATTAATGAGTGGCGATTCGTGGCAAACACAGACCCACACACACACATATTTGCCTTGCATATAATCATGAGCTGATTGATTTATACTTTTTTCTACCTACAGCTAGAGAATACTTTGTTTATTACAAGATACAGTATGTACTTAGCTGGGAGGTTTTCTTGTGCCAATTAATTTTGAAATGGAATGTTGTAAAAGATACTGTATGTACTTAGCTGTGAGGTTTCTTGGGCCAATTAATTTTGAAATGGAATGTTGTAATATTAAAACAGGCTGGGACATGGGAGGAGAAAAGCCTCAACAATTGGGCAACTCAAAGAATGAAGGTATGCGTTTCTATACATCCCTATGATCTTTTTCCCTTTATGCTTGTGCATATGGAGAAACTTACTCCGCATGTGATTTTGCTGGCAATTTTAGAAGGCTTCTTTTCAATCGTACATCAACCAACTTGAACTACAACACCTCTACTTTATGCATCTGTGCATGCATGTAAGGGGGAAAAGGGAAAGAAGAAAGAAAGTTTTTGAACTTAAGAAATTAACAATGCCACTGCGTTCACATTCGTCAAAGAGAACCTTGTGACACAATTAGGGAAGAATACCTAAGTGAAGCAGAGAGACACAACCTTTGCCTACAAGCCATTTAGAATTACCTGGGTAATTTGTTGATGTGTACTTTTCTATTGTATTTTTTGTGGTATTGAGTTGTGACTGTAACCAGTGATTTATTTTATAATCTGGTATAGTCCATTTACTTGTTGGTGTGTCTACTGTGCTGAGGGAAGTACACGGGCTCCCAACATGAATGTGCATTGAGAGAAACCAAACACATAAAATAACAGAATGGAGAGGCTTTTCCCATTTTTAGGGCACATTCTCAAGAACCAAATGGGCCCAAAGAGAGATAAACGCAACCTAAAATGGGTAAAAGTGCCTCAAGTTCATGAACTTTTCTGTCAAAGGTATTTCTGACATAATGAGTATTACCAGAAAAACACCCTTAAGTGGACCTAAGGCACTAGAAATGAGTTATACAATGAGGAAAAGCGATACAAATTTTATAAAGCATTACAAAAGTCAGCATGTGCTCTCTATTGATCCTCTTGAAATCTAATATGAGTATATGACTACTGTTATCCACTTTGAAGGTGCAGTAGTTCATGGGCTTTTTTTTTTGTTTTGTTGGGGTGGGGGGGGGGGGTTAAGTAAGCGTGACCGTGCAATTTGATGCTAAATAGAATATTTTCTTTGCAGGACCACCATGACCATTTGCTGAAAAGGAAATACTTTTGAGCTATAAATTACGAATCATAGTCCTCCTTCCTTCCTAAGCCCACACCAAACCTCCCAACTAATAAGATGATCTGCTTAATTCACCCATGCTTGAAAAAAGGAAGCTTCTCATCAACTTTTCTTTGGACAACACTCTAGAATTCTAGAAAGGGACTTTTGATGTAAAGGAATAGTGGAAAGAGACTGTTAATGATTATTGTGGCCAACTTTAGAGACCCGTTCCAATTATTTTGACCTTTTGAACAGCTAGTCCCCGGAAAGAAGACACCTTTTGCTCCTATGACATTGTGCTATAGTCAGTTTTTTTTTTTTTTTTGGGGGCCCCAGTGTATGCCATTTATTGTATCTAATTTTCTCCTTGCAGGAGTTGCTTATGTCAGTAGGTTCCTTGCAGTTCTCTTCTGGGAAAGCAGAGATAGAAGATGTAACAAAATGTATTGGCGATGTGAGTTTATTCAATAATTTACAACTGGGCTGTTTTACTTTTATACCCTGTACAATATAATTTTTCGTAACCTTGTTGTTTTGTATGTGTTCCAGGTACGAATGTGTATTGGACTTCTTTGCTTTATAAACAGTTGTTAGAAATAAAAAAGAACAATATATAAATTATCATTTAAAAATATAATTCATCTGCCACAGAAGTAAAATGATTATTTAACCTCTTTATATTAAATAAGCAATTTATTTATTTGAAAGGAATGAATTAAATATAGAGTCCATATTAAATGATACTAATTTGTAATTTGAAGTAATACTAATGCTTTTTAGAATGGCAAGAGAAGTCTTTTATGTGAACTAATCAGAACTAAAAATCTAACAAGCATCCTAGGTTATATTACCAGGAAATGCTTCTTATCCTTGCCACACTTCGATTCTTTCATTTTCTTTATTTAATTTTTACATATTCCCCAACATAAAGCATTGTATGCTAAACAATTTCTATTGAATTATGTTCCCAACCTTTTTTCTTGATGATTATATGTTTGACAGTTATCATTAAAGCTCTTGAATTTTTAAATCAATAAATGTGAACTTGAGAGGAAAAGATTCTCTCTTTCTTATCTTCAAATGGTAGATTACTTTTCAATATATACACTCAAAATGAGATAAGGTAATGAAGCCTCATAAAACCTCATAAACACTAATAGAATTTGAAGAAAACTAATAAATGCTAACATGAGACTGTACAATAAATAATAGAAGATTCCCACAATAAATTTAAAGAACGATACAGGAAAAAGACTTCTGTGTGCTGTCTACGCAGAAAAATACCCAAAAAATTGGCCATGTTTAGAAATTTTAGATATGAGGGTATTAAGGGGAAAGAGCTGCACATTTTTTTGAATGCGTGATTAACAGGAAAGGTGAGGGAGAATGATATATATTTTATTCTTTTAATTTTTTTAATTTTCTATTTTATACTTATTAAATTTGTAGAATAAAGTAGTAACTGATCTTTTTTTCAAATAAAAGATGCTAGTGCTGTCTCCTCCCTTGCCGCCGTACCTGCTAATTTGGATGAATCAGTTTGAATGCAAAGAGTGGACAATCTTGGATATGTCTCCAAAATGCCCTTTTTATCTATTATGAATTGATTTTTTTTTGGTCATGCATTTCTTAGGCATTTATGGTGATAGTTCGAAACAAGAAACGTGTTGGCTACACCTATGAGTTAACCTTAAAAGTTAAAGGTACAATTTTTGTTGGGCATTTCAAAACACGCACATTAGCTGATTATTCTTTACACTTCAATTTGATTAATTTGTATAAATGATGCCAAATTAAAAATGAAACAGGGGAATGGATGGTCCAGGATGATAAGAAATTGGTCAATGGCCACATAGATGTCCCAGAATTCTCAGTTGGTGAGCTGGACGACTTGAAGGTATCTTTCAATGTTCTTCTTAAATGCTATATTTGTAACGCATAATAAAACTGGTTAGTGCTTGCCTAAGGTTTAACCTTTCAAATATATTTTAGCATGTCATTTCAGCATCTTAATCGGAGAACTCTTATTTTTCCTTCTTTATCTCCTTTTTCCTTTATTTGTTTTTTTTGGGTTCAAGCATATTATCTTGTCTAAAATAAAATTTATATCATGTTTATTTAAGGTAGTTCAATTGTTAGGCTTTTTTTATTAATGATGAATGATTATAAGCCCTTTTATGTTGTTCCTGGTGTGTATTCATTCTACGACTTTCACCACACTAAAGTTCTTTCCATCGGTTTGTGTGCCATCAGGCAGATTAGTGTTTTGCCTATTCAACAAATTGGAAAATAATTGCATGGTAGTAGGTAGGCTGAAGAATGAAGTACATCTCTGGTAAACCTAAATGATAAAAATGTTATGTTCTGACATGTGTGTCATGCGGAGATCTAGCAACAGAGATTTGGATCACTCATTTCATAAGTAGAAAGATTTCAGAAGATCTAAGAAGGGTGTGGCAATGTGTAGCCTTTGCGTTTCCATGATGCATTTTGCTTCGGAGGCTGTCATTTTCTAAGGGTGTCTTGTTGCCTCTTAGTTCTGGATAAACAATCTTGTTTTTTAAGAAAAGAAACAGAAGTTCCAATAACTATGGTTTTTCAGTGGGAAAAATGTTAGGACTCCTACCAAAATAGGGACGGCAATAGGATTTGATGAACTAAGGTATTATAGAAACAACAAGCTCCTCTTGACTAGATCTTTTGCACCTTTTTTACCAAAACATGAGGCATTGTTAATTGTACTTTCTTTGTTTGTTTGTTTTTTTTTTTTTTTGGGGTGAGATTGGCATTCAAGAAGGCATTTTTAATATCAAATTGTTAGTTTGTGTGAAACTCGTGGGTCCTAGTGCAGCTTTGTATCTTTCAATCCTTTTGTCAGCATGGAGTTTTGCTGCGAATATTGATTTAAAATTTATGGGTTGCCATTCTTTTGGAAAAGTCACCGTCTCCGACATGCTACTCTTTTCTAATGCTCTCATTTCCATGACCGCTTCCCTCCACTCCAATACTTCAAAAATAAAGTTTCTTTCTGAGAACAATTGGCAAATCATGATCATTTGCTCATTTATTTGAGTACTTGCTCCAATGCTAGGATTTTTCACAGGTTTTGACTCTCTTAGTACTTCAAACATGAGGTTTTCTTCTCTATTTGGTTTCTTTCATGAGAAGACTAGGATTTCTTTGTCTTTGTGCTGTTCTAGATCTACCCTTAATTTTGAATTACCTTCTATTTTAGGCAATTGGGGGTGGATTGATGAACATCTGCATCAGTTTCACCATCCCCACAGCCCCTTCGGGTTTGTGGGTATTTAAAACCCAGAAGATCTTTGGCTACATGAGCATTGAGGCTTGGTGCTTCTTCTGTCATAACACAGAGGTCACCATGCCTGGTTGCTCCTAAGGGAGCAAGACCATTGGCTGGGCTACTGCTCTCTGTGTGGTTGTGGATTATGTTGATGCACTTTATTGCTATCTAAGGAGGCTATTTTATACTAGGGCCTTAGTAATTCTTCTGTACATAAAATTTGTTTTCAATATTCAGATAAGATCTAGTGCGTAATATTGAGAATTAGACTGTGAATTGTACTTCCAGTAATGGAAGTGTAATGAATGAATGTAAATCTACAGGCAATAATTTTTTTGGATACACTGATCATGGGTATGACTGAAATTCTTGTAATTCAAACTCCCACTTATGTTTACTTACTTAAAGGACGAATGTTCCTTTCCAACACAAAAGGGAGAAACGTTACTTGTATTGCTTTGTTTTGTTTTTATTTTCCTGAAAAAGGGATAAGAAACGGGAGCAATTTTCATGTTCCAGATCTTATAACTCAGTGGTGCTTTCTCTCATTAAAATGACTCGATCTTTCAATTCTAAATGACGGGCGGTGTCTTCTAGTTCTGTATGCTTGATTGTTTGTTGAATATTGATTTGGATCACTTGCGATGAATTTCTCCCACTTTGCAGATTGAAGTGAGACTCAGCGAAGTGCCTGACCTGTTGCATCAAGATAAGATACAGATAAAGGAGGACTTGAAGCTATTTTTGAAGCCTGTAAGAGAGAAGTTGCTCCAATTTGAACAGGAATTGAAAGATAGGTAGAAAGAGTTAGCTCCTGCATTTGTGATAACTTATATTTAGGTCGTCTCGGTTTATTAGGGACTACTATTTCCGGCACTCGTTTCAATACTTTATTACAGCAAAAAAATATTTCAAAGTGCATTTAGATAACCAGGCATCATGCTTGGAGAGGGTTAAGCATTTTAAGCATTCCTGTGCAATCATTGGGATTTATTGAGCATGAAAGTGTGGCTGAATTTACAGAACTCTGTCTTGTATTTCTGTTTACTCGGACCTTGGATTTTCTTTTTACAAACTGTATTTCGTGTTGGCCTAAAAGCAGCTTTAGCCTACCTTGCTTGTTTAGGGCTCTGTTCATTCTCAAATGACTTGTGCAAGAAACAGTCATTTCTTTGGGTTAATACAATTTTTGGACCTTCAAATTTATCTTTATTTTAGTTTTAATCCTTCAAGTTTTAAATGATAGGTTCTGATCCCTTAAGTTTTTTTATTTGAAATATTGATCTCTGTAATTTAATAAAAACTTAGATCATTTTGCTTCTTGAGGGACTAATCTTATGATTTAAAACTTGAGGGATCAAAACTAAAATAAGTACAAATTTGAAGGACCAAGGTTATATTTATCTTTTTTTTTTTTTTTTGGGTACCCATTCATTTTATTTGTTGATAATCCTTGTGATGGAAAGTGAAATATTCAAAATATTTTTTTTATCAAATAACTGGTATACCGGGACAAGAAAGCTGTGAGAGAATAGTGATTCAATTTGATGTTGTTTGATTTGGAGTTATAGTACGAGTGTTGGCCGTGTATTAATGAATAGTTTTGGACCTATTGAAAATGCCAATATAAGTGAGGACCCATGTTGGAGTGACAGTGACAATTGAAGTTATGGTAATGTTGATTAGGCAGTGTGCGTTGGGAACATTTGAAATTTCATATCTTATGGCACAGGCCTTGAATCATGTTTCGGAGGAACGCAAGTTAAATTAGGCCCAATGAATTTTGCAATCTTATGTAGTGAAAATATGGTTGTCTTGGATGACAATAGGGACTTTGTGCTGGCCTTCAATCATGTTTAGGAGAAACGAAATTGTCAAACCAGACACAATGAAGTCTCGTTTCTTGTGGAGTAAAAATGTCTATTGGATGGTAATGTGGTTCTCGTCTACACCTTGTGCCTCATTTGTATGGCATAAATTAGATTGTTGGCTCACGTCTTTTTATGGAATTTTAAGTATGTGTTGTATTTGTAGTTAGGAAAATGAGCAATAAATAGTATTAAATATGACTGAAAAAAATCCTAGAGGTTACTGAAAAAATATTCATTTAGTCCTTAGTTTAACATATATTTAACTATTGTCACAAAAAAAGAAGAAGATATATTTAACTAATTTGATTAAATTGGAAAAGTGAGGTAAATTAGTTAGTTATAAAAAATATTATACGTTTTTCATAAAACACTCTAATCATTCTTTTTTAATATCTTTTGTCTCTTTCTTATTTTATTATTATTGAGGAAGTATCATTAATAGTAATTAGAGATAAATTGATAAATATGAAAAATAGGTCTTAGATTTAGAATAAAGATCAACTGCACATACTTCTTCAATTAGAGAATTTTTGAAGGATGTAGTGCTCTTGATATACGGTACTTAGTCTTGATATATGGTACTTGGCAAAGTTTAGGGGTTAATTAAATCATGTTTCCTAAAATGTACCCAAGCAATAAATAAACGGAGATGGCAAACCTACGTAATAAAAGAAAATGATGACGATTAATCGAGGATAAAAGTTTGAAGAAGGAATAAATTTTTCAGATTTCAACTAATATTTTTTTTGGCAAAAAAAAAAACTAATTTTTCAGTTTTGTTAGCTAATTGTTTCTTGCACTTAGGTATGGAGGGAGCACCAAAAAAGAACTACGGACATTGTGATCAATATTAAAATTTCAATTCTTATTAAGGACCTTGATCCTTATTTTAAATTTGAAATTGGAATTGGGTGCATTTAGATATTTAACTCTTTACATATAATTAAGGGTCATGGATGGGTAAAGCTTTAATCTGCCAATCTTGGTCTGTTTTGCTTTTCCTTTTTAAGACTGATGCCATATTGGGTTACTCAAACTTTTTCGATATCATTGAACCACATCAATATTATCACATACAAAAAGAATTTGTTCAAATATTATCACATACAAAAAGAATTTGTTCAATGGTCCCTCGTCCATGCGAATTGTGGTGGCACCGTATAAAAGGATGTTCAGTATTGCTTCAAGCTTCTTCTAGCCACTCCTTTTTTAAAACTGACATTGTGTTAACACCCTTTTCCCTAGTTTTCGCCACTTCAACTTTAATTATATTGTTTTCTTCATTTTATAAAGCATCAAGGTCATACCTTAATGTGTGTGTAATATGACACTCAATTTCAAGTAACGTGAGACACTCCCTTTTGACACACCCACATATAAATTCTAATAATATAGCAGATCTATTTTCCTTTTTTTTTTTTTTAAATTCAAGATTAAAGAAGATTGACTGAAAAGGAACATCATAAAAAAGAAACTTGGGAAAAAGAGTCCATAGGAAGATCGAGCAAGAAAGAGAAGACCGAATTGCCAATACAAATATTAACTCAAATGCATAGATGAGTACGTTGAAAGTGCAAAGTTTGTTGATTTTGAGCTTGCAGAGCCTATTTGGTTAGAGGGGAGGGTAGGAAGGGAACGGTGGGAAAGGGTGTGGAGGAGTTTTTAATCTTACTTTGTTTGGTTCAGTTAGAAGGGACGGAAGGTAAGGGATTTTTAATAATCCATTACTTGGTTTAAGAGGGGAGGAAAGGGAAGGTGATAACTAATTTATCATTCTACCCTTGTATGTTAGTTTAGATTTTTTTGGCTTACATGTTATATAAATTAATTCACACTTCATTTCAAATTATATAATTTATAAAAATTCACTCTCATGTTAACATGTCAATACATGTATTAAAAAAATTGATATGATGATGTTTTCCCATCTCTAATTGATATAATAATTATTTAGAAAATCAAATTAACAAATTTGATCCTTATAAATGGATCTAGTACTTTTTGGGCAGCATTAGTAAAATTATTAAATTTTTTATTTGCACTTGGTTCAAGAAAAAAGACTAATTCTGGTTTTAAAAAAAAAAGGACTAATCAATGTTAAAATCTCAGCACGGCTCATATCTTATGGATAAGCAAAACGTAAGTGGTAGGTGGTGTGTTTTTTCTATTAATATTGACTCTTTCCTTCATTGTAGCCAATGAATTAGTGTGGAAGAGAGTTGTACTGTAAGCAAGGTGAGAGGAGGGTCTGAAACAGTGAACAACAAGGTGGGGAGCTTTTTCTGTTTAATAATAATGGGCAGAAATGGAATATCATAAAATACATGAAGATAAGTTGGTCATAAATTTTGGCTCCGTTAAAAAAAAAAAAACTACAATTTAAAGAAAACCAACATGGGGGAGTAGGAGAGGGAGGAAAAGGGATTTGGCTCTCCTCTCTGTCAAAATTTCAAATTTCTAACCAAATAAGAGGAGAGGTTTATTTTTTCCTCTCCTCCCTTCAAACCAAACACATCCATAGAGGCCACTGGAATGAAGAACAAAAGACGAGGGATAGGAAAAGCAAAAGCATAACCCTTGGGGTGTGTTTGGATGACTTCAAACCGTGGTTTGAAAAAGTGATTCTGGAGAATAGATTCTGAGAAAAAGTGATTCTGAGAAGTGAGAGTGTTTGGATAGTTATTACCAGAAGTGCTTTTTACATGTGGAAATTACCAAAAAGGGTATAAGTTAATATGATAATTATATAAAAGATAGATTTTATGATTTATTTTGATTTGAAGAAATAAAATTGTTAATGAAAATTTTTTTACTAACATAATTAATAATATATAAGATAATATAATTAATACATAATTAATATGTGTACATATATTTATAAAACATAATATTAAATATGTTTATAGAAAAATGATTTTTTATAACAGAAAAATATTAATTTGGTTTAAAGATTGTAAACGTGAAATCCCATAACATTTTTACACAACTACTTTTTGTAATAACATACTACATGTATAATAACCTCTGATGTTTAATACAATTAATTAATTAATTGTCACCACACATATATATTCATAAAATATAAGAGTGAAAAATATTTTTAGAGGAGAAGAATTATTTTGTTGCAAACAGAAAGTCATGTATTTTTCATGAAGATTATAAACATAAAATGGGATGATATTGTTTGATAAAATAGAATAAACACGACTTAAAATAATTTATTAATTATTCAAGTAAGTAATAATTAGCTTGAGAATATAAGGCATAATATTAATAAGAGAAATATAAATAAAGAAGTGTCATAATCATTAAGATGATGCATCGATACAAAGCATTTGTAATAGGTTTTGTTTTTAACTACATATTACAATCTATGATAAAAGGAAATAAATAAGACATGACTACTATCCTCGTATTGAATTAACAAGTTCGTCTCTTATGCTGTCACGAACCTGAGCCATGTAAGATGAAGATTGAATTGATGAATGTATACGTGAAAATCTAACCCCATCATCATCATCTTCTGCATAAGTACCTTCTTCTTCCAACTGAACGAATCCAGGATCAGTAATAGATGTCATTCTAATAAAATTATGTATAGCCATCGTTGCACAAACGATTTTAACTTGTGTTTCAAAATCATAAGATGGCATGTTTTGTAAGATTGCGAACTTTTTTTTCCAAACTCCGAAAGTTCTTTCAATTGTACTCCTTAAACTTGAATGGAAATAATTAAAGATCTCATTGTCATTTTCAAACCCAGATGTCCTTCGAAAATCAGGCAAATGGTAACGCTCCCGTCTGTATGGGCCGAGATATCCATTCGGTGTTGGGTATCCAGCATCCACCAAATAATATTTTCCTATATAAAAAATGAAATTATTGTAAATTATGTTTCTATTGTTAAGCTAAATATAAAAAAAATATAGGAAATAAAAAAATACCTTCAGGTGGATGGGGAAAGTTCATTGAAGGAGTTGTGAGGGCATGATCAAATATCCGAGCATCATGTGCACTACCTTCCCATCCGGCCAAGACAAAAGTAAAACACATGTCCCAATCACAAACCGCCATGACATTTTGTGACACTGTTCCTTTCCTAGAGATAAATTTAGTTTGATCTGTTGCACTGACAACGCAGGAAACATGTGTGCCATCAATTGCTCCAATAGCATGTTTAAAAAAAGGCCAGTATTTACCAAACCGAATTTTTGTATGAACATGCCGGAATGTTGGATCTTTTGGTTTGATATTAGACATGGCAAGTCTACAGCATGCCATTAGGACATTATGAAAATGTCTGCTAATTG